ATGGAATCCTTCGATCGGGAAAACGCCTTTGGTATTCTTCAACAGCAGCACGTGCATTGCGACCGCAAAATCCACACACAAAATGCATATCACAATATTCCACGTGTGAAAACACAAGAGGCATTTCAGCAACTCATCACACAACTAATTTACCACCCATTCACGACCCCGCCGTAACGTAATCTGTAGGCTCTGGTAGGTAGCGCATGAACTTACGGCTAGTGACTCACAGCACTCAAGGACAAACAGACAAGGGTCTCAGCTGACAGGTACTTATAGTGCGTGGACCTGCAAGAAGACCACACTTTTCTCGGGCCATTATCTCCGTAACCGTTCAACTTTGGACATAGGTGTTTTGGGTTATATCGGCATACTTTAACATAAGGAACACCCTCCCGAAGTTTAGTCCATTCCTCCTGGGACACCCTGTATAGTGCGCACTTCAGTAGCGACACACTCCGCAACGAAATGCCACGTAGTTACTAAACTCGGAATTTCAGTACAAACAGATCAGCGACTCTTCTAGACTGGAAGAACCCGAGCTACATTTAAGTTAATATTTTTAAAAACAGAAAAGGATCTCTCTATGTTGGTATAACCTGTAGTACAGGTACGTCTACTTCCATTAAGCAGAGTTAGGTAGGTTATCGTTTAACGGCTATGGGGATCCGTTGTGCTGACCACGCGACACCCTCTAACCGCTAAATATTGCACTAACTTCGCCGACAAGCGACAAGTCTCTCGGTTGGTATAGTTCCCTTGCGGACTAAATCCACGGAGGTTTCTTTAGGTATGTCATCGTACCTGACGATACAATGATTATTTATTTATGCATAGTTTATTCATTTACGTTAATCTTAGCGCAAATTATACACACCATCTGCGCGAGGACACTGTACTACATGTAACAGCCTTCAGAAATCTATACCATCCCTACTATGATAATATTGTACTACGGGGAACTTCACGTACTTACATGCTACTCAAGAAGATAAAATAGTTATTTTAAGGCCATAAACACTGACAGACACACCGTTGAATCCGAGAAATCTAAAATACTGTTTCGATGAAGTACTTATGCACATGAATCTGAATGCAAAGTAACAGCTATTCTGAATAGAATGTAAATTTAATTAGCATTTACCTGTGATTCTGAAGATCTTGAAATTGTTAGGATCTTTTTATTTTACATGTTAGCTGTACTACAGTAATCTCCCCTAGAGTGTACGCACGATAATTATTCCAAATGCCTGTCACCTGTTCCTTACCTCGAGGAGTGCCTGTGGGACAAGAAACAGAACGTGGCACAATTGTTGACTGTTTGCAGTTTCCACTACATGCACAATTCATCTCACATATAAAGACATTATACTCCGTATAATTTTCACGAATATTAAAGAGAATGCAATGTATGATTTCTCTGGAACTTGAACCTCGTCATACTGAAACACCAGAAGTTTAAAGATAAAATTCCTAGAGAAAGCTTAACGCAGAATAACTTTCATTAAGCTGCATTAGCAATACGTTTAAGATTTGGCATAAAAGTAGATAAAAAGCAGTATCATAATTACTTATTTTTCTTCTCGCTTACTTGTGTGGTGACGTAATAAGAAACAATGGCCACAGCGATTATATACGGAATGACATGTCACTAGCAATACGTGCCACAATATAGACAGCGTACAAAAGGAACTCTACACATCGATACGTAGCTAATCTTACCAAGATTCTAATATCAGATAGAAAAATGTTTCTCCTCCCGTCCGCTAGAGGTTCACATGTTGTGAAAATGGCGTCTTTACAACAGGCATTGTGAGTCGTTCAGCATGTGAAGTGTACAAGGGAAGTTCTGTAACGTCACCTGAAGGACCTACCTACAACAACGGTACTCGATTTATGCGTCGTATAAAGAGTTTGAAACCAAAGGGCCCTTCTGCAAATGAAGCAGTTCCAGTGGGGTTTGTGAGGGAGGACTCTTCTGCGCGTGACTAGTGGGGCTCAGGCTGAGTGGCCGTAGAGCCTATATGTTTACTTCTGAGTGTGTGGCACATGAACACTCTGAGTACTGTTTGATTTCTATGATTCTTTGAAAATGTTTGCTTCGTTTTTAATTGCCCCAGTATATATAACAGCTATTTAATAAGGTCCCTCCAACATTTAAAACAGTCTGTGTTAACACAAAATATGTTTAATACACAATAAAAACGATTTTCCTTAAGCAGACTTGACTCTTTTTTTCCCCACAGACGGTACAATGCCACACTGGACAGGAGCTCTGTCCGATGTCATCAGTAGGAGGCCGCTTCCTATTAATCGGAAAACAATGCCGCGTGACATTTGGTGCTTTCACACCAGTGACTATCAAGGTTAATGAGTTTATGACATCATGTAGCCTGGCAAAAAGTTACCAGTGTTTGGGAAGAACTTACTATATCCAATTTCAGGATAGGAGACGTATAGTCAGGTAAAAGTAAAGGTATCCTTGTAACAGGCCTTGGAGGCCCATAGGGTTGTAAGATGTTGATGTTCCCACAATTTCTAGACAATCGGCTCATAGATGGCGGCAAGGTTGTCAGCCCTACGCGCCGGCCCCGCTTTACCCCCAAGGATATTCCAAGAATATTCCTGGTACTCATTTCTGTTAGATGCTGGATCGACCATAGGGCCATAGTGCGGCTGCAAGGATTAGGTAAATTGAGAAAAATCCAATGACCTCATCGGGACTTGAACCCGCGACCTTCCGGCTTGTAGCATAGTGCCTCAACCAACTACGCCACCGCGTGCCCCTAGAATGTTATATACCATTCGGATTAACCTGCCGCCAAGGTCTTTGGGGTAGGTACCCTCAAAATGGAGCCAGCAGTTTACGCAGTACAAGACAACACGACATCACATCCAAGAACGCAATAATTTTAATTTGATTTGATTTTAATTATCGATGAAGCACAAACTAGTGGAAAAGATTCGTTTAAAATACGAAAGGAAGTCTGCTGAGAACATTCTTTTTTTTCTACCTTCTTTTCCCCCGTATTCCCTTTCCGTCACTCTTATTCATAAGTATGACGTCTCGCCCCATCCGTTATCAGACCCTGCGGTCACCACACTTGCAAGGCTTAAGTGGCGGCTCCATTGATTTTCGCGCGAAATCGCTGCAAATAGAGTGGAGTAGAAGTTATAGACAATACACATGAGGTTTTTCTCGCATTTTTATTTCTTTCTGTTTTGAAAAGAGCTTCGAACTCCCATTCACAAAATCTGGGGAGATTACAGTTAAGTATAGCACAAGTTCGTCAACTTTCATTACTGCTAGGGACTGCAACATCAGCAGTCGCCTTCCAACCCGAGAATTTACTTTCCATTCATGCCCTCAACACCTGCTGTATTACTTGGACGCGATCAATTGTGTCCTCTGCAGAAAGTTCAGTAAATTTTACCCCAGGGTTCCCTGTAGTTTCGCACAAGCACATTTCAAATTTTGGGGGGCATGCGGTTGTTCGTTGAAGCACTACTCGTATGCCACAATCCGGAATNTCGTCTGACAGATTACTGATGAATGAATGAATGAATGAATGAGGTTTTACTCGGATTTTTATTTCTTTCTGTTTTGAAAAGAGCTTCGAACTCCCATTCACAAAATCTGGGGAGATTACAGTTAAGTATAGCACAAGTTCGTCAACTTTCATTACTGCTAGGGACTGCAACATCAGCAGTCGCCTTCCAACCCGAGAATTTACTTTCCATTCATGCCCTCAACACCTGCTGTATTACTTGGACGCGATCAATTGTGTCCTCTGCAGAAAGTTCAGTAAATTTTACCCCAGGGTTCCCTGTAGTTTCGCACAAGCACATTTCAAATTTTGGGGGGCATGCGGTAGCGTTGTTCGTTGAAGCACTATGCCACAATCCGGAATGTCGCGGGTTCGATTCCCGATGAGGTCACTGGATTTTTCAATTGACCAATCCTCCCAGCCGCAATATGGCCCTGGGGTCGACTTAGCCTCTACCAGAAATGAGCACCAGGAATCTTCCTGGGGTTAAAGGGAGGCCGGCCCNCAGATATCGGCTTCCTCATCTCTGAATACACGTGTATGAGACATGCAGAATTTTAAATTTGTATCTTAAAGCTTTGAAATAAAAGATCGATACATTTGAAGAAGTTTCACGAATATTTGCCAGACATTTTCTGTCTCCTGAGATACATCAAGATACAAAGATTGATTCCTGAGATAGATTTACACCCATCTTAAAGGGACTGGTTAGCTTCATACTGAGAGTCATTTACTGCCTTACAGAGGCAATTACATGACAGGCTAATATTAAAGATGTGGAAAGGATTAATTTTGTTCTGGAGTTAGCCCTTGTGAACACGTGAATTTTCGGATTCACTAAGGATTACAAATTTATGGAGTACATTGATGACTACTGGCTTCTAAAGAAGTATTTCATTCCAGGAGGGTAACTGACTACAAAAATTATATAACTCCATGGAGCCAAGTCCTGCTTGAGAAGCCGCCGGTCGCTCAGCTACTCAAGAATTTTCCAAAATTTTATGGGAAACGAAGGTTCTTTGGCGTGTTCACAAGATCCTGAGACTAGTCCTTATCCTGAGCCAGATTAATCCAGTCCGTACCAAACCATTTTTTTCTGAACTCCGTTTTAACAATAACTCATCTACATCTAGGTCTTCCTACTGTCCTCTTCCTCTCTGGTTTCCTACCAAAACTCTATACGCATTCCCCCCCCCCCCCACGAGTGCTACATACCTTATTATTTAATTTCATTTTATCTGATCACTCTAATTACATTCGTTGATGAGTAAAATTTATGGAATACCGCATTCAACAGTTTTTCTCCCACGCCCTACTATTTCATTCCTCTTTGGTCCAAATATTCTCCTCAGCAAAACCCTTCTCAAATACCTTCAGTCTATATTCTTCCCTTAATATTAAAGACCACGTTTCACACTCATACGAAACTACAGGCAAAATGATAGATTTGCACGTTTAAACTTTTAAGTTTTTAAACAGCAGATGAGAAGACAGCTCTGAAATGAATGGCAGCAAGCAGTGCCCAAAATGAATCTGCCCTTAGATTCCTCAAGGATCCAATTTGGATATATTACGGTCCTTCCGAAGTAAGTGTACTTTTCCACTTTCTCAAAGGATCAACTTTCTGTCTTTATGTTCCGATTTTTCCCTACGTTCAGGTGACGGGATATTAACGTACTGTGGAATGTAGACCGGTTGCTAGGTAACAGTTACACAACAGCCGTTGCTAAATAATGTCTCTTTAAACAGCGGCCGTTGCTAGGCGATGACTGAGCAGCTATCACCTGGGCATCCCAATAGACACGAACGCAATAATGGAAGCAACAACAGAGGAACGGTGTTAACTATGGGGTCCGTGCCGAGATATTATAAGCAGGACCGCTAGTGCAATGAGTTACTTGTGGGACGGTCGCCAGCCGGTAAGAACATGAACACGGAAACTGAGGATATTTTTTTGGAACCGTCACCAGGCAAGGGCTGGTGAAGATACAGCAGACTGGGAAGACCTAGTGCGTGCTGCAGTGAACTGCACAGTGTCTGAATTAGCGCTATACACATTTTAATCACCGTAACAATTTTCATGAGCACCAAAAGGTCTTTGAAAACATTGCACAGAATTTCTCCCAAACCGAATCACACGCTTTCTTCATGTCTACGAATAGATGTACCGTATCACCGGACTTCCGCCTTTCCTTCAGTATCTGAAGAGTGGGAATCTATGATCAGTAGTCAATCTGTTACGTCTAAATCTACAGTGATGGTCCTTAGTAATTCCTTCTGCATATGGACTTAATCTTGAGAGATTGTGTATGAAGCTCCGTTCTTCTTGCAGACGGGCACAATAATAGACTCATTCTACTGGTCAGGCAATTTTTCCTTATTTTAAGTAAAATTAATCTGTTTACGGACCCCAAAACGTACTATTATAACCTCATGCTTGAATCAGTTGTGCGGGAATTTTATTAATACCTAGCGATTTATAATCTTTGACTTTGCAATAACAATTTGAACTTCAAAATGAACAGACTTTGGTACTATTGGCTCAAGTGTATGTACCTGTACCTGCCTTACATCACAAACCATATCTACGTACATTCAGTAGCAGAGCGAAGTAATCCTTCCACCAATCCAAAATTTTGTGGGAATCTGCTAGAAAATTACCATTCTCATCATTTACCACGTTAATTCTAGCATGGTAGCCCTTCTTATATTCATACATTGCTCTATATAAA